TTCTTTACTGCTACAGCTTATGGACTGGGCTATCCTTGTTGCTACCACAACATAAGGTTTGTAAAATATGGGACTGGAAAAGGCTTGTATCTTGAATATTGGTTGGGTACCCCATAGTCCTAGATAACATTTGTATTTGGAATAGGGAAGAAGTATGGCAGATATGTCCTATACAGGCTTAGTCAGGAGGCAGAGATGGGAAATATAATCAGAAAATATGTTGCTTTTGTAAGATCTTTTTATGTAGAATATATGAAAGAATTCTAGCATATACTATTGTACCTGTGTTTTGGCAGCTACCTAAAATCCAACAACTATTACGCCTAAGAAAATTTGCTTATGGGACTTCAGGACTCATCTTTCTCACTGCCCTCTCAGGTAAATATCTCTGTTATTGGTGCATTAAATTTGGAGGTGGGGAATAGGGGAAGATAAGAAAAATGCATCTATTGTAAGACCTTGCTTCATCAGGTTCATGATAAGATTTGCGTTTTTCTCTGACACAAAAGTTCTTAAATGCCTTCACCTGAAGGACAGTATAGAGAGCTAGGAAATGTTATACGGTACAGGGATAAAAACATATCTTCTTGAAAACTTTAAATCTTATATAGTTAATCTTATTGAAAATCTACCTTCAAGTATGTCAGCGTCTGTTCTCTGAAACTGTAGGAGCATTTGTGGCTGGACTGGATGCTGGTCTCGTATATAATTCCTTTCCTAAGATGGGAGAACGTTGGATACCTGATGATCTCCTTGCTTTTTCCCCAATGGCAAAGAATATATTTGAGAATCCCACAACAGTGCAGTTTGATCACAGAATTCTGGTATGCATCATTGCCTTTATGCTATGAAGTAATCATTTTTTTTCGCTGATTAGTTTAAAAAAAATATACACAAAAAACCTAAGGTTATGGGAATGAATTCTACCAGCTTAGATGGAGTGTTAGCTTTTACATACCTAAGATAACAGTTTCCATTCCTGCCATCTATAATTTAAAAAATTTCTCGAGGTATGAAGATCAGAAAGATCACTTTTGCTAAAATAGTAAAAATGTTGGCTCAGTTTGTAGCTTGCATGATCTATTAAAACAAGGTTATTGCAAATTTACGACAATAATCTTTGGAAACCCACACATTAAGAGGATTTGAATATAAAAATTATGAAAATAATAGAGCCTAGTGGAGGCTACAATCTCAATCTCCGGAACTGCTGTTGACCTAGTAATAAGGTATACAAGAAGGCAGAGCTTGAAAATTGCTAGGTATGTATTAGTATACCTAAGGCTTGTTCTCCTACCCATTTGCCTGCTGATGAAAGCAGGACTGCTTGCTTTGTAAAATGGAGCTTTCCAAGGCTTTTATGGGGCTGTTGGAAGATGTTTTAATAATTTTTTTCCCCTCTCTTTAGGGCATTTCCTCAGTTGCAGCCATCACAACTCTCTATCTGCTTTCCAGAAAGATCTCCCTCCCGCGTAGAACTAGAATGGCATTTGCTTCCTTATTGACTGTAGCATATCTTCAGGTATTGATTTATCATTAATGTATACATTTAAATTCCAGCTAGCAGACAAATGGTATTCTCTGAGCTAAATGATAAACTGTCCTTCTAGATGCCTGTCCACTTATTTAAACTGAGTTATTTTGGATGATTGATTCAGGGATTTTAAATATAGTTAATAGCAACCGTGACACTACACAGACCAGCTTTTTTCATATAGCTTTGAGCTAGAAGTAGACAGACAGACAGATAGACTTGCCAAATCATAATGGAATAAATTGTCAGAAAAGGTGAAGCTACATAAGCATTATTTCATGAAGCGAGGGGTGGATTACTATTGCAGTTGTTCCTTTTTCTTGCGCTTGGGTTAAAAAAATGTAAGAGAGTGAGTAACAGAAGCTAGTTAACTATTTATTTATTTATAATATTTAAATAGTTGCCTATTTTATATCAAACTCTGGATGGTTCCCAACCAACAGTTAAAACAACATCAATAACAAAATAGCATAATATATACATATATACATTAAAAACTGTAAACATTAAAATCCTGGCAGAAAGTTAAGCTATTACATGAAATCCATCACTAAATCCTCTCATTATAAAGTTGTTTTGTATTGTACTGTTTATATAGTATACAAAGGTAAGACCAACAGGTACAAAGATCTTCTGAACATTTGTAAAGCATGCTATATATATTAAGTTCATATCTGATTTAGCATTGATATTTTTGCTCCGCTGCAGGTCACCCTGGGTATCAGCACATTACTTCTGTATGTCCCAACTCCTTTAGCAGCTACTCATCAATCTGGTTCTTTGATGTTGCTCAGTATGGCTGTGTGGCTAATTCATGAACTCAGAGGGATTCCTAAATAGTCTTAGCTCAAACACTGAAGGTTCAGAATTAATACCTTTACAGTATGAACCATGTGATCCTCTGCCTGGGAGCTGAATTGAAGAAGAGGACTGTATAGAAAGATACCTTGGCTTCATTGATGTGGAGAACACTGCTTCAAAATATTATGAATACAAACCATCATCCGTTTTGCTGGCCTTTTTCATGCTATAAAATTACCGACACTATATCTGTGGCAAAAAAGAAGGCTTGTTTTGGCTATTCCTCATGTCCTTCAATAGTTTACTGAAGATATAACCACAAACATTTTCAGTGGTGTCTATCTTAAATTCTACATATAAAAGATGACATGATGCGGAATAGGATTATGGACCGAATGTCCTTGAAAATTTGGAAGTATTTATATTATGTAAAGGATGAGGAAATGCAGTTTATATTCTAAATTCTATACCAGTGTGTGCTTTCATGTTTCTTTTGGTGGAATCTTGTTCATTTTTAAATATTAAAATATATTATGAGTTCTAAGTAAACATGATAAACGTAACTTTTTTCATCCACTGTTTTTTCATGTCCTTATGCAACCTATTAATATGTTAAAAGAGAAAGCCATGTAATTATATTTTATGACTTGAAATGGCACAAGATTAATCATAAATTCCTTAAAAATAGTAAACAGTGAAATTTGGAATTATAGGCAGGACAGTGCCGTCCACAGTCAGAAAACAAAAGCAAAGTGATATATTCATCATCCAATTAATTTGCTTTGCCAAGAAGACATTAATCCCCACAATTGTTTGCTTTAATTCTTATGCATACAGGGTGCATGTTTCTTATCTTGACTTCCCTCTCTCGGGGCTGGCAATAATAAACATTCAGAAAACATTTCTAATTCCTACAGTGGGCAGAAGCTTAGCCGGGTCATCTGTAAACACTGACAGCTGAGTTTTCATAAATTATCATATACCTTGATTGCTTGGTCCTAAAATGAAGTGTGAATTTCTGATTTATGTCTTAATATAATATGTGAACTTGGTCACTATATCCCTATTCAACAAACAATTGCTTGATGTGATATGTGATTATAGCTGATTTGTCTGCCTTTTAAGTGCTGTCCTATGCAAAGCCCACAGCAGGAACTGGAAAAATATTTACTTATATCCTGACTTTGTTTTTATAAATAATTTAAGACTGTGAACATACCTACTAGTCCTTCCTCCTATTTTCCCACAACCCTGTGAGCCGAGTTGGGCTGAGAGAGAATGATGGATCCAAAGTCATCCATCAAGTTTTCAAGCCTAAGGCAGAATTAGAACTCACAGTTCCCTGGTTTCTAGACCAAGCTGGCTCTCAAGCTTATCTAAAAAAAACCTCCTCACATATTTTCTTCCAATCTGTGTTTCCTGGATAATATTAAATTCAAAGTCATAGCCCGAGTTCAAACCCCTGTAATTATTAGGTAATTATTAAATTTAACAGGAACACATTAGTTTCTACTTCAACTGGTCTGTTTAATGCAAAGATGTCAAATGTTTTGTTGTCTATGACCAGTTTTATGCTTGTTCTGATCAATCATATGTTGAAGCCATTCAAACTTTTTTTATTGTCAAAGGGGAAAAAAAGTGCTTTAACAAAAAAGTGAAAAAAATACAACAGAAGAATGCACAATATATGTCATAATACACGGTTAAAATTGTATACATACTTGTCCAATGAAAATATTCAAATATATATATATATTTCTAATACATTTATACAACTGTCTTTTTAACCTGTATTCTGTATAAATGAGTTCTGTATTTGATTACACTTTTCTATATAGTCTACATCTATAGACAATCCACTTGTAAGTTGGAAGTGCAATCAGGTTTTCAATCCATTAAATAAGTGGAGCTATACATTTATTTTTCCAATGCTGCAATATCACTTATAGCTATAGTAAGGACACATTTTTGTTGTCCAGTTATCAAATTCCATGTACTAGGTATATAGTTCAAAGGAATATTATCCTCTGAAATTTTAGCTTTTGTTGCCCAATATTTATAAAACGACTTTCTCTGAAAACTTCTAATAGCATCTCCAAAAATAAGGTACCTGCAATCAATCCTTATTAAACATTCTCTGAGATATTCACTAAACTATATACATTTTGGGTGCATTAACCTCTTTTTAAGATCAAAAGAAATTAATTTTACTTAAGCCTATGAATGGATCTTGTAATTATCAGAATGGGACATTGACTCTTATTATTTCAGAAATCCCTAAATAACACTTAATTCCTTTCAGAATAGATTCCTTACTTAATGTTGCTGATATTTTACTATCAGGCAGCATTCACTCAAATACTGTAGAAACTATTAAGAGTTCCTCTTTGAGGAAGATGGGCGGTGTAGAAATATGAAAAATAAAATATTTCGGCTCATCGAGAAAGCCACAGATTGGGCACCTTTGGTCTATTCTATGCTGCAAGTGTTCGGGGCTCGTTAGAGGCGATTTGGCAGACGCCAGATGGGCAGTATTGTATAATCTTTGCGCGGATCCCAAGTTTCAAAAGAAGGGTCAATGAAAGACCAGTGGCCAGCCAATCACCGCGACGCCTGCGGAGTTGATCCGGAAGCAAGCCGGAGAGGTTGTCCAAGGGACCAATGAATACGGGAATCAGGGAGACGGGGCGGAGCCTTGCTTCTGCAGAAGTGGACAGCTCCTCTCGTCGATCCGAAACGGCCTCGCTATGACGGCGCACAGTTTCGCATTGCCGATGGTCCTCTTCTCCATCTTCTGGGGGCTCGTGGGATTTGCGGGTCCGTGGCTTGTGCCGAAGGGGCCCAACCGCGGGTGAGGCTTCTTTCCCCGTCTATCTCTTCCTCGCCTTCCCATTCATACAATCTCAATTCACTCTGTCGTTCCAAGCTATTGGTGCCTGAGGATGAGTTCAAGACTTTAAAGCTGTTAATCTAGCTCATAGTTTCTCATCCTTTGAGGATTTGTACATTTCAGTTTCCAAAATTCTCCAGCCAGCAAGTCCAGACATTCTCAAGCTGCCAAGGTTGAGAAATACTGGGCTAGCCTGCTCCCTCCAGTACCTTCCAGGTGTGTTGAGACCCCAGAATCTCCAGCCAGTGGGGCAAGAGACATAAGTGATGCATTCATTTTCAGATACTTATGCCAGCACAAACCAGTGCTCTGTAATAGAACAGGGTATCTCATTTCACCAAAGGGAAACAGGGGCAAGTGTTAATGCATGCTCCTTTATTTTGCTAGGTTTAAAAAAAAAAATCTGTAAATAGATAATCACATAACTACCAAAAGGCTTAGTTAGATCATCTGGTAGAATTCTGTTGGCAGGAAGTTATTTATATAAGGTACATTAAAAAATAATAATTTATAGTACAATTACTGTATGTGTATAGAAGGCTAGGATGTAATTCTTGTGACTGTTATCCTGACATTTTCTTATATATTTCTCTTAACGTTTCCCCTTTTTTCTTTAGAGTGATTATTACCATGCTGGTGACAACTGCTGTTTGTTGCTATCTTTTGTAAGTAAATCATGCATAATGGGAACAAGATAGCTGGGGCTATTTCTAAAAAAGACATATGCTTTTGTAACTGGGGATGATATACTATAGTAATATGATCCCAATTCCTCCTTTCTGAATACTGGGAAAATAAAAGGTAATTTGAGCTAGAAAAGGCTAATTCTTATCATGCTGGTAGGATGATGTTATTCTGCAGTGCCACTGGAACAGAGTGAATGCATGATGTGGTTAAGTAGATTTGTTAAAAGACTAACAATTGTATGTAAACAGCACGTCAGGCTTGGTTAGTTTGTATTATAGGTTGTTTATTAGCACTTAATGTGTTGTAACCCCAAACTCCTTGAGTATTTATGCCTCAGTATATTGTGTGTGTTTAAAAAATTGGTAAATGTAAGTCTAACCAGCATGTAAGCATATTGTTTTAACATAACATTTAAGGCTTTTGTTTCATCAAATATATACATGCTCATATCCCAATCATATATCTTTGTAGTATCTTAATCTGGCATGAACAGTTATGCAGAAAGCACAAGAAGTAATAACCAAAACATTAAAAGCAAGAAAAGAAACTATGTAAATTTACCAACATTATTATATTACTCCCTACTTTTCTCTCCTTGCTGCAAACTACATTTGTTTCTACCACCTCCACATGCTGATTCATGCATTGCTCTCTATCCTTTAACTTTTCTTCTTTTAGTATCTCAACTCCATCCAATCATAATTTTCTTGCTTTTTCCATTTTTTTAACCCTTTTGCTTTTCTTCATATATTTTATAAATCAGTTCCTTATTCATTATCTGCATGACCAAACCACCTCATTTCTTTCATGCTGATCACTCACTTTTGTATTCAATTTCCATTCATTACTCATTCATTACTTAAATCTTACTTTATCCCACATTTCTTAAATATTCTGTTCAACTTACTTTTTATGTTTGTCTTGACACATCAATTTGTACTTCCATATAATGGAGTAAGCAGTAGCAGAGTGTTATACAAACTTATTTTGCTTCTGTTGGCAAACACCCATCCTACCAATTGACCATGGGTTTCCTATTACATTTCTCAGCAATTGCATGTTATATTTCTTCATTTGTTTTCCCAACTTCAGTAACCATTTTCCAAGCTATGTTACCATTTATAAGTAATCCTTGACTTACAATAGTTCATTTAATGACCATTTGAAGTTACAACAGCACAGGAAAAGAGTGCCATATGACCATTTTTCACACTTACAACCATTGCAGCATTCTCATGGTCATATGATCTAAATTCAGACTCTTGGCAACTGACTCATATTATGAGTTGCAGTGTCCTGGGGCCATGTGGTCATTTTTTGCAACCTTCTGACAAATCAAGAGAGAATCCAGATTCACTTAACAACTGGGTTACTAACTTAAGAACTGCAATGATTCACTTAACAACTGTGGCAAGTTATAAAATGGGGCAAAACTCACTTAACAACTGTCTTGCTTAGCAACAGAAACTTTGGGCTCAGTTGTGGCTATTAGTCGAGGACTACCCGTATTTATGTTTGTCAAGTACAAGTATCTTGCTCTTGTGACATCATTTAGCCTCTCAGGCAACAAGCTGTCAATATATTCATATAAAAATACATGCACATTTATGTCTAGAACCAATACACTTCTGTTGTTTTCAGATGCATTCCTCAGGCATTTTTTCTCTTAAGTATCTCAAACAACCATTGCATGTCCTTGCCTTATTCCTTACTCAATTTTATTGAGTACTTTTCATTCCTTTATCCATCTTATTATATATAATAAAATGGATAAAGGAATGAAAAGTACTAAACATCATTCCACCAAGCATCTTTTCCCATGTTTCTTATAAGCATAACTCAGCTCTATGGTACTTTGTAATATAATTCCTTTCACCATCTTCCAAATAGCTTCCATATCTTCTTTCCTTAGGTCCTCTTCCCATTAATTCTATTGGGAGATTATTCTATTTTCTAATACTTTTTCATACGAAACATTTGTACTGTATTTTCATTTTATATGTTATTTTGCTTTCACTATTTTTTTCACTTCTTTATGTGTTTTTTCCTAATTTCCTCTCTTGACACTTCCTAATAATTTGACTTACATTCAGATTCTCATATCACCCTTGTATTATTCACTAATTCTTATCTTTCATCATAAACAATTATACAGATCATGCTTTGAATTTTATTTTTTTTTTGCTCTTAATTGTGACTATCATACAGCAATTTTATCTTTTTTTTTTCAGTTGGCTTTTAGCAATTGTTTCTCAAGCCAATCCTCTCTTTGGCCCTCAGCTGAAGAATGATACTATCTGGTACGTGCTCTTTCAGTGGGAATGACCTGGGCTGTTACAGACCAATTTAATAGGTATGTATCAACCTATTCATACTCATAAAAGCATAGAAGTGACTAGCCTCTTGTAACCAACTAACAACTGGAAAGAAAAAAGGATTGACTTCATTATTATTTGCAAGAGATCCTGAGTTTGACTCTCTACTTGTCCTAGGCCTGCACTGGTACGACCAAAATTTATGAATCCATAAAACAGGCTATTATTCTTTTTGTCTCTGTAAGACAGGGAAGGGAAGCAATTTATAGTTCTAAGACAGGTTCTCTCTCTTTTGGGAAAGTTCACGGCTGATAATCTTTCTCTTTCAGGCTTCACTCATGTCCTTTCCAGTTGAAAGTGTGGTGGATCTTTTACAGCCCATTTCCACTGTAGTGACCATCCCCTGCCTTCCAATTTTAACTGATACTTTGCCATATTATCATCTTAATGTTTTTATTAAGGACCCTCCCTTGGTAACTGCAGTAAAGTAAGTAGTACAGTACAATAAGTGGTTATACCCTCAAGATTGAATCACTGTTGATAAGAGCTTCACAACATCCTTCTGAATAAGAGAAAGCCTTTTTCTTCATTTCAAATGACATAGATTTGTAGATTTCTCCACATCTTGATCTTTGCATACAAAGATTCTTCTGTCAGAATGTATTTGCAAGACATTTCTAATTGTCCATGTGAAGTACCAGTTGTAAATATAAATATGGTATAAACTTGTATTGTGAAAATAAAAGTACTGTTTGTGACCTACTGTTGGTGGGGTCCTATTGTCAGACTTGGGAGAGTTTATCTACAATGAAACTGCTGATATCACTTGTATCATTTTAAAGAACAGCTTTACCAAAATCGAATTTTGGGAGATTTTGTTGCCAAGTATGATTTCAGTCTACCTACCCAGATGACTGAGAGCCAGTTTAGTCTGGTTAAAGCACTAGAGTAGAAGCCAGGACTCTATGAATTTAGCCTTGCCTTAGACATGAAAGCTGACTGGGTGACTCACTCTCTCTCCCTTGAAATCACTTTAGAGCAGTGTCTCAACCTTGACAATTTTAAGGCATGTGGACTTCAACTCCCAGAATTCCACAGCCAGCATTGCTGGCTTTGGAATTCTGGGAGTTGAAGTCCACATGCCTTAAAATTGTCAAGGTTGAGAAACACTGCTTTAGAGGGTTGTTATTGTGGGGAAAATAAGAGAAAGGAGTAGTATGTCTTCATTGCCTTGAGTTATTTATAAGAATAATAATTCTTATTATTATTAAATTAAATAAGATTGAAGCCAATAAATGACTCTCCCTTCCAAAAGTAGAAATGCAAGAGTTTATTCTGTGCAAGCATTCCAACATTTTTTTTAAAACTATTTTTTCCTTTTAGATCTTCAACCAGGTAGAAAGGCACATGAGGAATAATGGCTTGTGTAGGCCCTTGGGCTATGAAAAAGAAACATCAAAGATGGTTTCAAGAAACTCTGATTAGGTAGCTCAATATAATTTATTGCTACAGTTAACTGGATTTCAAGTATTCAAACAAATACATTATGAAATGTAGCCCACCGTTGAATTTAGACAGTTATCCAGAATGGTTTTGTATTTCGAAATAGTTTTCTGCAATACTAGAAATAGATGAAGTGCCCAAGGAAGGAGCATTCCCGATGAGCCAACCTCCATCATGTATGTAATAGGAAATCTGACAGAATCTCCATGCTCTATATGAGCAAAATTCAGGTCCTCGAAAACCACAAGTGGAAAAAGAAGGCAGAAAGTAGCCGCCAATTATAGCTTCTTTTTCTTCTTGTTTTGAAAGCGTGGGTTTTTTTGTCCAATGGATTGTCCATTTTCAAACATTGTCCTCTCTCAGCCACTGGTACAAGAAGCCTCTTTTCAAAACAGAGGCCAAGCACCAGTATGAGCTCTTCACTTTCCTTTGCAGAAGATCCCTCAGAAAAGCTGCTTGGTCCTGCAAATCTCCCATGGAAAGTTCTCTCACCCACCTTTTCCTGAGTAGATAGTTTTCTTTGGTCATTTGCATTGATACTGTTTCCAATTCCAATAGGGATGGAAGCGAACCTTTGGTCCTTGCCCTATAATACCTGCAACATGATTGTCCTACCCCAGCTAAGAACTTCAGACACAATCTGAAGTCCTCTGGCAGCCATGGCCCTTGGGGTAGAGTATTATTGAGCAGCCACTCTGAGTCTAATGAGGAGTGCTACAATATTCTGGATTGGGGGGAAAAAGGGGAATCACAGCTTTTGGTCTGCTAAAAACCAGTGCCAGTGCCAATAAGGAAACACTGGACAGTCACTGAGATCGTCCTGATAGCATTCTTTTGTCAGGAGCCTTCTTCCTGGGCTGGCAGTGGTACAACTTCTAGCCACAGCAGATCAAGGGGTGCTGACTGCAATGGCGGCTGGTGGATACGGCGCAGACGGAAGAGGTAGAGCCCAATTGCAAGCGTCACCACAAGAATACATCCAAAGAACAGATAGTGAACAAAAGAAAGATGGAACCAAGAGCTGTGCGACTGATGGAAGCTCTCCCGTTGGATGTCCCTGAACAGAACAGAAATTGGGTACTGTTACACACATTTATTGTATATCACATTCTCCCTAATGCTTAGAGTGGTATATGTAAACCTTGTCCCCCCCCACATTTTATCATTACAATAGCCTTGAGAGAGGTCAGGAAGCAACTGGCCCAAAGTCTTCTCATATGTTTTATAACTAAGTAGGGATTTAAAACTGAGTCTTAATAGTTTCTTTAATCATACATTACCCTGTACCTGCTACTGTGCGATAATTGTTTAATGGGAATTTTGACACTATTTACTTATAGTGCCTTTTATTTCGTCAAAGGTGCAGGGATTGTGACATAGAGCTCCCACTCATCTTTCTTGTGTTAAAGCTCCCTTTCTGGATACTTCCATATATTGCATCACTTGCCCTTCCCAGAGACTTGAACACTTTAGGGACTCATTCAGTGGAAGAAGATTACACTTCTACCTAACCTTCACATCAGTTTATATATCTTGGTTTGCTCTGAAAGTCAAGTGACAGAACTTCAGCTACCAAAAATGGACGGCAAATAAACCTTCAAATGCAGGAAGAAAATTTAAGTTCTAGATACCTAACGATTTGGCTTGTGTTAGTTCAAATCCTAAAAACAATTTATGAATGGAAGGGAAATATCCCCTAATATTTAGTATTTTACTCTTATTAATCAGATTTGTGTAGAGTGCATTGCATCTTTCATCTTTTTTTTAAAAAAATCAACACATTCTACAGGGTTTGGGCTCTAATTTCATATTTTCTGTAAAAAAAATGCCTTAACTTTCAGCTTAAAAATATTCTACAACATTGGACTGAGCATGACCATGTACAGACTGTTGCAAAATGCAATATCTGAAGGCCACAATCCTGGAAGACCAATTTTTTGGGAGAAGCATCTTCCAAAAGTCTGACATTGTGAGTTCCCAAGATGACTTGATTCCTAGAGAAAAATCAGAGAAATAAAATAATACCTGAGAGGTAAAAAGCGGGTTTTATAAAGAATGGCTCCCAATGTCCATTGCACTTCTCGGTCATATAACAACTGCACTGTTCGCAAACTAGAGTAATCTTTGGGGAAATGGAATCCTTCATGCAGAACCTGGTGCATCCAAGCTGACTTGAAGCATTGGTACCTGCAAACAGAACATACAGTTTCATTTACAAAATGCAGAACTGGGACTTATCTTAGTGATTTCTAAGGCTCTTATCCCATCACTGCAAAATAGGATTGTGGATTCAATACATCTTCTACCCCCCAGTTCTGTAAGAGGCAAGAATGGCTCCTTACTTAACACGGTGGAGGTCTGCATGTGGTGAGTAAAGCTTGTCTTGGAATCTCTGTAGCAATACTGACCAGTTTAGGCTACAATAATCCTGGAAAGTAGTAAAGCAAAGGGAGATTAGTGTAAAAAAATAAAAGACACACAGAATATTATCAAGGCAAAAGTCATACTCACTTGGGCAGCACGTGTGAATGCACTGCTTTGATAAGGTCCTCCTAAACGTAGCACGTCATCAGTGCAGTAGTAGAATTCTGAGAACCCGTAGAATTCACTGTTCGTAAAATCAATAGATGCCTGATAGGAATTACTCAAAGAACTTCCACTACTGTTGTCTCCAGCCAACAGGGGGCGCAGTTGTTCTGCACAGCTCCTCCAATTACCTTGACCCCTGACATGCATTGCCTGCCCACCTTTATCCACAACATCCTCTAGTCCCATTGGCAGGCATGGGTCTAAGACTGGCACTTCAGGATTCATGCCTATCTGTACACTGTGCAACCTACAATAAATAAATGAATGAATAAATAAATACACCTGTAAAAATTTAAGACAGCATTCCCAATTCATGGCATCAACTAAGTCAGAATGCCAACTTTTCCCTTGCCCTCATTCAAATACCTAGTTCATTACTTCCCAGAATTTCCCTAAAACAAATAAACAGACACAGACACACACATCTTAATAACAGGTACCTGAAACTTAAGACTTGAGACTATGACAATCAATCACAGCATATAGGCTGACTTTCAGAGACATAATCATCTGTGGCAGCAATAGGAGTACTATCTTCAGAGCTGCTTTGCTTTTCAGCACAATGGGATTGTTTGGGATTTTCATTGGTTTTTATATTTTGATATAAACCACTGGGAGTCACGATTTTAAGTTCATTCGTACAGAAACACATTCAATCAGTCAATCATTGTTAACTGGCTAAGACAGAAACAGCAAAGATCAGATCCTTAATTGCAGATTAAAGAACTATATGGACTGATTTTTGGCATAATGCCATTACTATACATAAACCATATATTGTGATTTTTGTATTAAAGACTTTTCTACAAACTTCCCTAGAAGACTGGATGGATTGTAGGGTGCTTTTTAAAATGTAGCAAGATTTAGTCATGAAATCTTAGAGAAACATATGCCAAAAGGGCACTCCTCAATTTACTTTTTCTATATCAAATACTCTGAATTCTTTTCAAACATTCCTGCAATCTCCGATTCCAATTTTGATGAACAACTAGTTTGGAATAGCGTAGCAGGAAAAGGGGGAATTGTTCAACAAGAAAATATAGGGCAGTAATAATGTTTAAAATTTTTGACTTTACAGAGACAGAATGGGCCCTCTGATTAACCATTATCCTCCATGCCAAAGGCCCCTTTTTATTTGTATATAATTGGATTCTGTGCAGTTTCCACCTTCTCTTCATTGACCCCATGTAGTTCCTCAACCCTAATTTGGGCTTCTCTTGGTGTGGGGAACAGAAAGTGCAACTGCTAGCCCTAGGAAACCTTATTATGAATAAGAATTGCCTAGGAAACTGGTTTCAGGCTCAGCAGCACAAGGGCAGGGTACCTGTTGTGAATGATTGTCTGATTCAGCACTAGTTCTTCATATCGTTGCCGAGCAAAGTTGCCTCCAAAGCCCAAAAAAGTATTGACATAGACCCGATACACATGATTTGTGTGTTGCACATCACATCCCAAGTTGAAGTCCGCAAGAAAACTTTTGGCAGCTTCCTCCTAGAAAGGAAAGAAAAGTGGTAAAAAGCTAAACCTAGCTGAGCCCCCCCCCCATTTCAAACCCTCCCTAGTCATGATGTACCTGCTGTGGGGAAGAAAAGAAGGTTGAGCTTGGCACCTCATAGGCTATTTGAAGGGAAGCACCTCCCATGTCGAGGATCCCAACTGTTCTTTTTCGGA